AATAAAAAACACATAAGTCTATTTAATTCTCTACTTTCTCATCTTCCTCTCTATATTTCATAATAGAGTGAATGTTTCTCATTTTTTCGAAAAAAAAAAAACATTTTCAAGTTAATTACGTATTTACACGCCAATGAACAAAATCCCAATGAAAATTTAGTCAAATTTGATTGAAATCTCACCAATAAACCAAACCCATGTGAAATTTTAGTCAAATTTGATGGGAAACGTGCCAAAAAACAAATTCAGATAAAATTTTAGCCAAATTTGATTTGATACAAGCCAATGAACGAAACCTAAGTGAAGTTTTAGTCAAATTTGATCGGAATTGTGCCAATGAAAAGTCGCATGAAATTTTAGTCAAATTTGATTCGAAATGTGCCAATGATCCAAAGTCATTTGAAATTTGAGTCATATTTTATTGAAAACGTGCCAATGAACAGACTCCAAATAAAATTTCAGTCAAATTTGATTTGAAACGCACGAATGAACAAAATCCTGGTGAAATTTTAGTCAACTTTGATTTTATACAAGCCAATGAACGGAACCTAGGCGAAATTTTTGTCAAATTTGATTGGAAATGATCCAATGAACAAACCTCATGTGAAATTTTAGTCAAATTTGAATGGAAACGCGCCAACCAAAAAATTTGCTCGAAAGTTTAGTCAAATTTGATTCGAAATGTGCCAACGAACCAAAGTCATGTGAAATTTTAGTCCAATTTGATTGGAAACGGACCAATGAACAGAACTCAAGTGAAATTTTAGTCAAATTTGACAAAAAAAGTGCCAATGAACAAAATCTAGATGAAATCTTAGTCAAATTTGATGGGAAACACACCAACGAACAAAATTCAGATGAAATTTTAGTCAAATTTGATTTGATACACGCCAATGAACTAAACCCTAGGGAAATTTTAGTCTAATTTGATTTGATATACGCCAATAAATGAAACCGAAGTGATATTTTAGTCAAAGTTGACTGAAAATTGCGCCAATGAAAAGCCATGTGAAATTGGAAACACGCCAATGAACCAAACCCAGTTGAAATTTTTGACAAATTTGATTGAAAATGCGCCAGTGAACAAAATTTAGATGAAATTTTAGTTAAATTTGATTGGAAATGCTCTACAGAACAAAATCCTGGTAAAATTTTAGTCAAATTTGATTTCAAAACACCAATGAACTAAATCCCGGTGAAATTTTAATCAAATTTGATTTGAAATGCACCAACAAAAAAACTCAGATGAAATTTTAGTCAAATTTGATGGGAAACGCACCAATGAACAAAATTCAGACGAAATTTCAGTCGTTTGATTTGATACACGCCAGTGAACGAAACCTAAGTGAAATTTTAGTCAAATTTGATTGACAACGCGTCAAGGAACAAAATTCAAATGAAATTTAAGTCTAATTTGATTGGAAACTTGCCAATGAACCAAACATGTGTGAAATTTTAGTCAAATTTGATTGGAAACGCGCCAACGAAAAAATCCGCATGAAATTATAGTCAAATTTGATTCGAAAAGTGCCAACAAACCAAATTCACGTGAAATTTTAGTCAAATTTGATTGGAAACGCGCCTATAACCCAAACTCAGATAGAATTTTAGTCAAATTTGACTGAGAATGCTCCATTAAACAAAATTCAGATGAAATTCTAGTCAAATTTGATTGGACATGCACTAACGACTAAAATCCTGGTGAAATTTTAATCAAATTTGGTTAGAAACAGGCTAGTGAACAAAATTTCGTTGAAATTTTGATCAAATTTGATTGGAATCGTGCCAATGAATCAAACCCATGTGAAATTTTGGTCAAATTTGATGGGAAACGCATCAGCGAACAAAATTTAGATGAAATTTTTTTAAAATTTGACTTGATGCATGCCAACGAGTGAAACCCAAGTGAAATTTGAGTCAAATTAGATTGGAATTGCTCCAATGGAAAGCCGCATAAAATTTTAGTCAAATTTGATTGGGAACGCTCCAACGAACAAAATTCAGACGAAATTTCAGTCGTTTGATTTGATATACGCCATTGAACGAAACCCAAGTGAAATTTTAGTCAAATTTGATTGACAATGCACCAAGGAACAAAATTCAGATGAAATTTAAGTCCAATTTGATTGGAAACGCGCCAATGAACCAAACATGTGTGAAATTTTAGTCAAATTTGATTGACAATGCACCAAGGAACAAAATTCAGATGAAATTTAAGTCCAATTTGATTGGAAACGCGCCAATGAACCAAACATGTGTGAAATTTTAGTCAAATTTGATTGGAAACGTGCCAACAAAAAATCGGCATGAAATTATAGTCAAATTTGATTCGAAATGTGCCATTGAACCAAATTCATGTGAAAATTTAGTCAAATTGATTGACATCGCGCTTATGACACAAACTCAGGTAAAATTTTTAGTCAAATTTGACTGAGAACGCGTCATTAAACAAAATTCAGATGAAATTTTAGTAAAATTTGATTAGAAACACACTAGTGAACAAAATTTTGATGAAATTTTGGTCAAATTTGATTGGAATCGCGCCAATGAACCAAACCCATGTGAAATTTTGGTCAAATTTGATGGGAAACACATCAATGAACAAAATTCAGATGAAATTTTTGTTAAATTTGATTTGATGCATGCCAACGAGTGAAACCCAAGTGAAATTTTAGTCAAATTTGATGGGAAACACATCAATGAACAAAATTCAGATGAAATTTTTGTTAAATTTGATTTGATGCATGCCAACGAGTGAAACCCAAGTGAAATTTTAGTCAAATTAGATTGGAATTGCGCCAATGAAAAGCCGCATGAAATTTTAGTCAAATTAGATTGGAATTGCGCCAATGAAAAGCCGCATGAAATTTTAGTCAAATTTGATGGGAAACGCGCCAAAGAACAAAATTCAAATGAAATTTTTGTCAAATTTGATTTGATGCACGCCAACGAATGAAACCCAAGTAAATTTTAGTCCAATTTCATTCGAAATGTGCCGATGAGACAAAGTCATGTGAAATTTTTGTTAAATTTGATTGGTGACGCGCCAGTGAATCAAACTCAGGTGAAATTTTAGTCAAATTTGATTGAAAACGTGCCAATGAACAAAATTCAGATGAAATTTGATTGAAAACGCGCTAGTAAAGAAAATTCAAATGAAATTTTAATCAAATTTGATTGAAAATGCTTTAACGAACCAAATTCGAATGAAATTTTAGCTAAATTGGATTAAAACCACGTCAATGAGCTAAATCCTGTAAAATTTTAATCAAACTTGATTCGAAACGTGCCAAATTAGATTGAAATTGAGCCAACGAAAAGTCCCATGAAATTGTAGTCAAATTTTTCAAAATATGCCAATGAACTAAAGTCATATGAAATTTTAGCGAAATTTGATAGGGAACGCACCAATGGACCAAATTGAGGTAAAATTTTAGTCAAATTCGATTGAAAATGTGCCAAGGAACAAAATCTAGATGAAATTTTTGTCAAATTTGATTAGAAACATGCCAATTAACTAAATCCTAGTGAAATTTTAATCAAATTTGATTGGAAACGCTCCAATGAACCAAATACATGTGAAATTTTAGTCAAATTTGATTAGAAACTCACCAACGAAAAAATTCACATGAAATTGTTGTCAAATTTAATTCGAAATGTGCCAATGAACAAAAGTCATGTGAAATTTTTGTCAAATTTGATTGAAAACGCGCCTATGACACAAACCCAGGCGAAATTTTAGTCAAATTTGACTGAGAACGCGCCATTACACAAAATTAAGATTAAATTCTATTAAAATTTGATTGAAAATGCACCAACAAACAAAATTCTTGTGAAATTTTAGTCAAATTTGAAACCTGTTAACAATTTAACCCCAAATCACATAAAAATAAATAAAAAATCAACTTTCTTCACAAAAAACAGTGATCAGGTGAATTTTATCACGAAACCAACTAACAATAGAGGGAGACAGAAACTTAGTAACAGTTTTTCCCAGCAGCAGTCTTTAATTTGTTTCTTTAACAATTTTTTAAGCTTTTTGGGGTCGTTAGGAGGAACAAAGAGACCGTCAATGAGCTCCGAATTGGGCTTGTAGAGGGCACAAACATATAGATATCAAATATCATTTTATAAGGGATATAATTTCAAAAGGAATTTTGAAAATTGGGAAGGTTGCTACTCAAGTTAATCCTTCTGATATGGGAACTAAGATAATACCTTTAAACAAGTTTAAAAACTGTCTGAAGTTGTTATCTATTGATACATTGTAACTTTTTCAGGTACCATTGGAGCGTATGAAATAAGAGAGTGTGATATGCTCCAGGCTGCACTATGACCTGAAAACTATGGTAGCAAGGTGGAGATTGCTATGACTCGAACCCGGTTTCCTTTGTGCTTCCATATTTTCAGCTAAAAGCGTGTTTTTGGAAATGCGTCTTATATATATAAAATAAACTTGATCTGGATGCTGACACCTGGTACAATATGATCCGTTGGATGAGCATATTAGGTCTGGCAATAATAAATATCTTGGGACGGCGTTTTGGCTTCATTCTCTCTCGCCTTTTCACTTTTCTAGAGAGTTCGTCGTCTCTGTGTGTGAAGTTAGGGTTTTCTGTTTAGCCATTTTTGAACATCTCATTCGAAATATATTCTTGAGTGTTTGAGGAGTGTTGGGGTCCGACACGACACATGTTGACACAGACGTGTTGGATTTTATGTACAATAATAAAGATATGAAATAGAGAAATCAACACAAATATTTACATGATTTGGTGGTGTCTACGTCCACAAGAGCGAAGTGGAGATAATTTTATTCAGTATGAAAAATAGGACTAAAACATTATTATTTATACTAATCATAGCCCAAGCTCATATGAGACTTTAAGGCCCGTACAAAAAAATATCCCTTTAACGTACCATGGGGGCAACGCCCCCGCTCCCCCAACCCATTCATTGTCCTTAGCAACCAAACGGTGAATTAAACCCGCGCAAGGCCGATGCTGTCGCTCCACTCCCCTCACTCCACTCCGGCATCGGAGTACACCGAGTTCACCGGAAACTTTCCGGCGATTGCAGCTCAGTGCCTGCAGAGATTGCCTTCTTCAAATGATAAGTTTACTTACAATTGTGATCATCATACTTTTAACTTCCTAGTTGAAGATGGCTACGGTAATTTCTCTGATATTTTGTCACCAATTTTTTATCAACTTTTTTGCTCTTTGATCTTTTTTCAAGTGCTTGGAGAATTTGAATTTTTTTCGTTGAATTGCAAGTGGTTTTTGTTGGATCTAGCTAGAAAGCCAAAAGCTAGGCTCCTTACTGTTATCGCTGTCTAGGTGATGCAATTCAAGCAAACACTAATGGTTTCAAAACTCTATTTTTGTGGGGATTGTAGAGAATAAAAAAAAAAAAAAAGAGAAACGAGGAAAAAAATCGTAACTTAGTGCGTGCGGAGCATCCGAAGAGTTTGGAGATACCTCAACATTGGTGAAAAACTATGGTTATCTAAAAAAATGAAAAAACTAAATAGAAAAAATAAAAAATAAACAAAAAACAAAAACCAAGAGCAAAGAGTTTGGAGAGTTTCTCTAGAGGGTAGAGAAACACTTCCAAAGTCTCTGGAGAGTTTCTCTTCAAACTCTCCACACTGTGCGGAGAGAGTTGATCTCTCCCTACAGTTCAGAGAGATCAATTGATTTCTCCGCACAGTGCAAAGAGATTTCCTTTATTTTTTTGTTAAGCTATTTTCTTATTTGTTTCTTATGTAAAAATGTATACATATATATTATATATCAAAGGTAAATTAAAAAAATAAAAAATAAAATAATTTAAATTTAAAAAAACCAAAGAGAATAAAGAGAGAGAAACGTGGAAAAAAATCGTAGCTCCAATGAGTTTGAAGATAGCTCGACATTGGTGAAAAAATATGGTAATACGAAAAAATAAAAAATCAAATAGAAAAAAAATGAAGAATAAACAAAAAAAAAGTTTCTTCAAACTCTCTAGAGAGTTTGGATTCCCGGGAGAGTTTGGAATATAAACTGTCCGGAGAGTTCGGAGAAACTCTTCGCATTGTGCGGAGAGAGCACAGTTCAGAGAGATCACTTGATCTCTCCACAGGGTGTGGAGTTGCTCCGTACTGTGCTGAGTGACCAAAGTGTGGAAACATTGAAAAGCCAGGAAACAAAGATTACATCAGTTCAAGATGATCTAGCCAAAGTCCTTAAAGAAAAAGAAGCACTTGAAGCTGCTGTGACTGACCTAACCAATGATGCTACCCAGATGAAGGAGTTGTGCAATGATCTTGAGGCTAAGTTGCAGCAGTCAGATGATAATTTCTGCAAAGCTGATTCTCTTTTATCCCAAGCATTGGCAAACAATACTGAACTCGAACAGAAGTTGAAAACCCTTGAAGAGCTTCACAGCGAGTCTGGGAATGTTGTCACCACAACTAACCAAAAAAATGTAGAGCTTGAAGACATGGTACGAGTCTTGAGTGCAGCTGCAGAAGAAGCAAAATCACAACTGAGAGAATCTGAGACACGTTGTATGGTAGCAGAGCAAAGGAGTGTTGAGCTTGAACAACTGCTTAGTCTGGTAGAACTCAAAAGCAACGATTCTGAAAGAGAATTGAGAGAACTTTCTGAGAAATTTGCTGAACAGAATGCCATACTGAAGAAGGAGGTGGAACAGAAGGAACAATTGAACATCCAATTGCAAGAAAATGAGGACAAAATAGCTCAAATTAAATCTGACTTGGGAATATCAACTGCACGGAATTCGGACCTTGAGCTAGAACTCAAGAATGCCATGGACAAATGTGCTGAGCATGAGGGACGAGCAAATACAACCCATCAGCGAAGCATCGAACTTGAGGATCTAGTGCAGACATCACATGTCAAGGCAACGGAGGCCGATAAAAAAGTGAGCGAGTTAGAGCTACTTCTAGAAACAGAGAAATATAGGATCAAGGAACTTGAAGAGCAAATAAGCACGCTTGAGAAGAAATGTGGGGATGTGGAAGAAGAATCCTTGAAAAGCATTGAGAAAGTTTCTGAACTTGAAGGACAACTTGAGGCTTCTCAATTGAAAACGTCAAGCCTAGAGGTTGCACTACAAGCTGCCACTGGAAAGGAAAAAGAGCTGACTGAGCACTTGCATATGATCGCGGAGGAGAATAGGAATTTGAAAGATGCATCAAAAACCTCAAATGAGAAGTTATCTGAAGCTGAAAATCTTGTTGACATTTTGAGGAATGAATTGAGTATTTCTCAACAGAAATTGGAGAGCATCGAAAATGATGTCAAGGCTGCTGGAATGAGAGAAAATGAAGTTATAGAGAAGCTCAAGTCAGCTGAGGAGCAGTTAGAGGAACAAAGAAGAGTGTTGGAGAAAGCTACAACAAGAAGCACAGAGCTTGAATCATTGCATGAAACTCTAACAAGGGACTCAGAGAAGAAACTCCAAGAAGCATTATCTAATTTCAGCAGCAGAGATTTGGAAGCAAAATCTTTGAATGAGACATTAACAAGTCTTGAAGATCAAGTTAAAAATTATCAAGAGCAGCTAGCTGAAGCAAATGAAAGATATGAAGCTGTGAAGGAGGAGCTTGATCTGATTATAGTGAAGTTAGCTTCTTCTGAGAATGCCAATGAAAACTTGAAACAAAAGATTTTTGATGCAGAAGGTAAAGCTGAACAGTATGTTGCAGAGAATGAATTGTTAGCTGACACCAACTTACAGCTCAGTAAACAGGCTAAAGAACTTGAGGAAAAATTAAATTTGGCTCTTTCTGAGAAGGAAGTCTCTGATAAGCAGCTTGCTTCTCATATGAGCACCATCACTGAATTAACAGAGGGGCACTCAATAGCCCCTGAACTTCAATTGGCGGCTGAAGCTCGCATTTCAGGAGCGGAAGCACAGTTGGAGGAAGCTCTCCTGAAAGTCAATCAAAGAGACTCAGAAGCAAAGGACTTCTATGAGAAGCTGAAGGCTCTTGAAGAACAAGTGCAAATGTATGAAGAAAAGGCTCAGGAAACATCTACACTTTTGCAAACTAGAGAAGGAGAACTGGAACAAACTCTGTTGAAATTGAAGGATTTGGAAAGTGAAGTTGAGGAAAAATCAAAGCTTACTCAAGAACTGGCTTCACATCGCTCAAAGTTAAATGATTTGGAAACCAAATTGTCAACTGTTTCTTCTGAGAAAAATGATGCAGTTGAAGAGCTTCAGTCTGCAAAAAAAGATATAGAAGATTTGACACACAAGCTTGCTTCAGAAGGCCAGAGGCTACAGTCTCAGGTTAGTCTATGATAACATATCTCAAAAACTTTCCAATCACTCAAATGGTTCTTCTATTTTTCTCCCATAGCATTTTTATTCTCGATTATCTTCTTCTTACAGATATCCTCTGTCATGGAAGAAAACAATTTGCTTAATGAAACAAATCAAAGTTCCAAGAAGGAGCTTCAGACAATTGTAGTACATCTTGAAGAGCAATTGAAAGAACAAAATTCAAGGTTTGAAACTCTCAACACTGAAGTTGGTCAGAAGGCTGAGTTACAAAGTCGTCTGAAGGAGCTTGAAGAACATTTAGCAATTGCTGAGGCTAGAGTTAAAGAAGAGGTAATGCAAATTTATATGGTTGTGGAACTCATATTATTTAGCATAGATCTTATATATTCAAAGTGGCTGCGGAACTTACTTTATTTAGCGTAGATATTATACCTTCTGGTCTCTCAGAACAAAGCCATTTTTCTTCGATGTATTGGCCATTGAGTAATCTTAGACTTTTGAATTTTATTCCCTGAAAACAGAACGAGTCAAGCTCTCAAAAGAAGTTGGAACAAGAAGCTTCTTTGAAGCAATCATTTGAAGAACTTGATGCCAAGAACAAAACAAGTCTTACATTTGGAAAATCAAGTTAAAGAGCTCGAGCAGAAGTTACAGCTAGCAGATTCTAAATTGAAAGAGAAGGTTAGGTTTCTTTCTGCCTCCGGTTCACCAGCACATGTATATAGTGTCTTCATCTTTGAATATACAAGGGATTGGGAAGGACTGCACATACATACATAAACGTGAAAATAAAAGAAGTTAGAAAACTATACTCAGGAAAGTGTCATGTATTATATGCTTTATTTCTTTGACCCATATATTACCATGATATGCATGTCTGATAACACACTTGCAATGTGCTTGACCATTTCGAAATTGATAGATTCTCAGACATGATAGTCTTAAGTGAAAATATGAGTCTCTTCTTAATATCACTTTTTCCACATACAATTATTCCTTGCTTTTCTGAAAATGCACTGACGCAATCTTCTTCCCTAGCCAAATATATGTAAAGTGATATTGAATTATAATAATTTTCATGCACTAATTTCATGAATATCATTTACACATGGCTGAGCCAAAAGACAATCCTTCTTCAACCAAATAGAATTTACATGTAGTTAGCAATCCAAATTTTAGGTTTGGAAACTAGAATTTGTACAAAAAGCCCAAGTAATTATAAGAAGAGATGAAAATTTTTATTTTATCACCATTCAAAACTATGAAAGAGCTGCTCACTGCTTCTAAGGCAAGATATCGTGGCTTCGTTCTTGATGAATCATAGAGAACATATATTTAACTGATAATGCCAAAAAATTTAATAACATTTAACAAATGTGACTTCCATCTAACTAACGTACTTAAAAGTTTATATATAGAAAAGTATGAGATTTTCATCAAAGGTTTCATAAATCTGAATTGTAATGTAGGATGCTACGACAACAAGGGAGGAAATAGAGTTGAAAAGTCGAGAAATCGAATTTTCAACTTCTACACCAACAAAAAGAAAGAGTAAGAAAAAATCAGAGCCATCTTCTGCTCAAACACCTTCCTCAGATACACATGTCAAGCCTGCTGAGGTATCCCCAGCCACGACTTTTAAATTCGTTCTGGGAGTGGCGCTAATTTCAGTGATTGTTGGCATTATTCTTGGAAAAAGATACTAAGGCTTTCGTGGTTTTCAGTTTTGCCAGCCTTTTTTTTCTTTTGTTTTATCAGTTTGTTTTGTTAAACTATAAACATATAACAAGGTTTGCTTGTGATGGCATTTATTTTGGGGCTGCTTGTTGGTGTCAGGCTATTGGTTTTCGGTTAAATCCTGACCTGTACTTATAAGAGGAAATGGAGAAGAAAAATGAATATTTATTGCAATCAAGTTTTTAATCAAGCTTTTGCGTTTTGGTATCAATTATATTTAACTCAAATTTTCTAGAATCTAGGTTGTAGCAATGCAGGCGTGCTGATATTATAGGAACTAGGGATGGCAATTGGGCCGAGCGACTCGTCGGCTGGCCCGTTCAACTCGTGAAAACAAGGATCGTGGGCGGCTCAGGCTCATATTTTTATGAGCCCGAGGCTTGGCTCGCACAAATGGCAAGCCGCTCGTGGGTGAGCTCGTTGTGGGCCACGAGCCAATTTAAGTGACCAAAACGGTCACTGAATTTTTATTTTTTATTTTTTACCACTTCTATAAATAGCCCCATTAACCCTTAATTTTTTTTCATCTCAATTTTCAACTCTCTTTTTATCAAGTTTCAACTCTCTTGTGCAAAATAGCCTCGATTACTTAGTCAATTATTTACAATTATACAATATTGATTTATTTTTTACAGTTTATTCAGTTTCAATTTCAATTCATACAATTCTTATTTCTCACTACATTTATTGAAATTTCGTTCAATTCTCGTTTCTCACTACATTTATATTTTTACTAGTTATTATATTTGAATTTCATCACAAATAATCAAACAAATAGATTAACGCTCATTTGTTGAGAGTTTGTTCGATATGGGATGTGGGCCATATGGTAAATCTCCTAGGACGTCGCAAAATCAATTTCGGAATGAATTTGTCGGTCTAAATGATGTACCCAAACCTAAAGATATTTACATTCACGGTCATGGAAGCCACAATCTAATTGATTTGGATAATATTGACGTTCTCGAAGCGAAACATGAGGATGAAGAGCTCGAATTAAACATTCCAGCTATGAGGGGAAAGCGAAAGGGGAAAAATGAGCAAAGTGTTGGGATCACTTTAAGTTGATTTTAATGGGAAGTCGTTAATGGCCTCGCAGAATCTAAAGCAATATGTAAGTACTGTCAACAAAGATTAGCATAGTAAAAAGGAATTGGTACTACCCATTTCAACCGCCACTACAAAGCATGTGTGACCAGACATGAACTTCTTCCAGCCGGTCAAACGCAATTGCAATTTGGCAGTTCAAGTGTCAATTCTACGATTTCACCCATATCCATATAGGTGTATTCGAAGGAGAAAAAGTTTGAATCAAAATGGTGAAATTTGTTGCCACCACTTAATTGCCTCTGGCTATTGCTGACAACCAACACTTCGTCTCATACGTGATAGAATATCTGCAACTAAGGTACGTTGGGGTAAGTCGAAATACTTATCGTGCCGATACAATATAATATTTCAATGATTCAAAACAACAATTAATTATGAATTTGCAACAATATGGGGGTGTTATATCTTTAACTTCTGATATATGGGAAGGGATTAATAAAAGAGCTTATATAGATGCAACCGCACACTATATAGACCCACTTTGGTGCATGCATAAAAAAATTATTGCTTTTAGAATTATTGAGTTTCTTCACAGTGTTAATATTATATATAATGTTATTATCAGTATTGTTAGAGAATATAATTGTGTGACTAAAATTCGATTTTTTACTTTCGATAACGCCTAGTGTTAATAAGATAGTTGTCGATAAATTGTGTAGGGTACTGCAACCTGATTTTGGTGGGTATTTGTTTCATATTTGTGTGTGTGCCATATTTTGAATTTAATTGTGCAAGATGACTTAAAATATATAAAGGATGAACTTCAAAGGATTATGAACGTACTAGTATATATCACGTTCTCCCTCTAGTAGAAAATAAGTATTTGAAGATTTTTGTACCGAAAATAGGGGTGATGACTGTTAAAACATTTGTTAGCGACTTAGGCCATAGATGGAACTCTACTTACTTGCTGTTAAAGTCATGTGAAGATTTTGAACATTTAATAATTGACTTTTATAATAATAGACACGTTAGAAGCGATGATGATGCTATATTGAATGAATCCGATTAGGTTTTAGTTTTGAAAGTTAAAAGATTTTTGACATCTTTTTATGAGACCATAAAGATTTTATCGAACGTTTATTATCCCACAAGCTGTATAGTGCTTGAACGCCTTTATATAATTTTAAGAACATTCCAAAATATAAAAATGATCCTTATTTTAGTGAAATTATAATTGATATGGAATTAAAGTTTAGAAAATATTGGGAAGATCTGCCTATGCTGTGCGTAATGGTTCCTCGATATAATTTATCGAGAACTAAATACGTAATTGATCAAATTAACAAAGCCTTAACGTTTGATACACCTATCACTTATAGGAATTTAGAGCAAACATTATGTGAAATGTATGAATAATTATATGCGGATCTAATGGGTGCAAATGTTAGTCGGGTACCCTTTGTACCTACTCCTTCCGTTGAAATTGAAGAAGATGATGTCGAAATAATGAATTTATTTCAAGGCATTAATACATATAGATATGATGCAACTACAATGTGTTTATCTAATGTCATGTCGTCTACATATACATCTCATCAAACATCGGTCGCAACTCAAAATGTGATGCCTGTCGAATTAGTTGATTACTTCAATCAAAATATGCCAATAGACAAAGCAATTAAAAAAAGTTCAAAAAAAGTAATTGAATTCTAACGAAAGTATGAAAGACGTTGGTCAGTTGTTTATGCAATTATGAAAGATCTGTTGACGCCTCCAGTTAGCACTGTTGCTTTGGAGCTTGCTTTTAGTGCAAGTAAAATAGTTTTGACCGATGTCGGGAGCCAACTGAAAGAAGATGGTTTGGAAGCATTAATGTGCGTGAAGGATTGACAGGACGCTCATTTTTTACTATAAGATAAATACGCCGAAATTGCATGTCGTCAAATAAGTGATATTTGATTTAATTATATTAATCAAAATTTCTTATTTTTTAATCGTTCTATTTAATTTTCTTTCAAAAATTGTACACGTTACAACAAGTTGTTCGTATAGAATTTTTAACTCCGCCTACTTAAAATTGATGTAGCATCTCAAGCTCGGATAAAGGAGGAGGGTGTACATTTTATCTATTTTAAAAAGAAAACAAAAAAATGTATTTCAAAAAAAATTCGTCTTAATTACATAAACATTTAACACTTTATAGAAAATATTACCATATGATAGAAATAAAAAAAATTATTTTTATTAAATTATTTTTTTAAAAAAAAATATTTGTGTTCATTTGTTTTTTTCTGTAAAAAAAAAAAGGGACGAGCTCGCGAGCCAAAGTTCGGCTCGACCCACGAGCTTGCATGAGCCACGAGCTTGTGGGTCGAGATGAGCTCGCCCGCAAGCAATGAGTTGAGCTTAAGCTCTGCTTGCTACGAGCACGAGCCGAGCCAAGCCGAGCCATTGCCATCCCTAGTAGAAACCTAGTAATCAGAAGTTTGTTTACTTAGGGTAATCAATTTTTTTACTTTTTTTTTTTGTCTTAAATAGTAGTAGCAATTTTTCTCAAATTGGGAAGGTGGCTTGGGACAAAAAGATTGGTCGAGAAGGGTATTTTTGGAATATAAACTGAGATTTCATTATATATAAAATCAAGAGATTATGTTTCATTCTCTCCAATTTGGTTTTCTTAAGAAATCTTCTCGTTGATTTAACTCTTGTAAGTGGTGGTGTTGCAAAGAGTTTAGAGATTTGTTGGGTTGTGTGCCCAAATAATATATTTTCTTGTGATAAAATAATGTTTCATAATAAATAAATTGTAGTTCTATCATTTATTGCACTTATTATTGTTGAGCATGTGAATTAAGGTGTTTATGACTACTTGTGATACTGTAAGTTGGGTACTTGAGTTTAGAAGTTCAATTTGGTAAAATTTATATTTTGATCATAAATAATTTATTCGTAACCAATGTATAAGGATTGACACATTGTACTAAAAGGCT